CAGCTTGCTGCCTGCGGCCGGCGGCCACACGCAGGCCCGGGGGCCACGCACAGGCCTGGGGGCCACTCGCAGGCGCAAGCTGGGCCATCCAGCCCCGGAGGGGGCCCCTCCTCTCGAGATCTTGAGCACGCATGCACACACGCCCGGCATGAGTTTAAGCCACTTGGTCTGGGACTCGAACCATGATCGACTAAATAGGAGTTCAGCAACATAGCCATTAAGCCAACTGCTGGTCCCTAAACCTCTAATTCTTCATAAATTGGTCAATCTCAAGTATTTCTGTTAGCAACTCAATACAGTCTAATGTGGGGAGGAAAGAGAGTTGTGAAATGTGAGGAAGAAGAGGTGGAAGAACTAATGTTACCTCCCTCTACACTCTACTCAACCTTGACCACACTCCCAACTCCCCTTAGCTTAACTTTTTGGAAAGAGAGAGATCAAGATGGTGAGCCAAGAAAAGGATTCAGAAAATGAGAGAAAAAGGGGGAGGATAGGTGAGCTCCTGAAACAGGTAAGTCCTCAGGCTGATTTGCCCATGTTCAGAAGTAAAGAAACCATATTTCCACTGACATGGAAAAGATGACACTGGTTCTATTCCCACTATATTCACACCCACCCCTGCACCAGGAGTCCTGGTTTTTTTCCACCGTTCTCAGCACTATCAGTTCACAAAGACCACCTCAATAAAATGACTGCCTTCTCCAGTGCAGCTTTTCAGTTACTGAACTGTCAACCACTAACAATGTAATTTTATCATTGACAGATCAAGTGAACTGAAGTTTAGCTAGACTGGCCTAGCAAACTGGAAAAAGTATGCTGTCAGCCCAGCTGTGGTAGCATTTCTCAGATGCTGCTGCTAAGCAAGCTGAGGCCATATGGAAGGCTCCAGTTCAATTTTCACCCTACCCTAAAAGCTAGGCATAGTGGTATGTGCTTGTAGTTGCAGCTATTCAGGAGGTTAGAGTAAGAGGATTACAAGTTCATGGCCAATGTGGACATAGCAAGACCCAACCCATACGAAAAAAATTAGGGGTCAGCAAGTGGCATAATGGTTAAGGTGTTGGATTCCCACATGACCAACCATGGTTCAAGTCCCAGACCCAGAGGCCTGAAATTCATGCTTGGGTGCATTTGAGTGTATGCCCAAAATCCCAGGAGGAGAATGGAGAAGAGACTGCAGCATGGACATCCCCCCTTAGGGGGTGATTTCTTACTTACCTTTTCATTTTCTCTCTCTGTCTCTCTCCAGTGAGTTCAGGTACCTTATGGCCAAAACCTTAAAAAAATTTAAATAGAGACCAAGAAATGGTGCATTGGTTACATTGCTTGGCTCCCATGTAGTCAACTGAGGTTTGAGTCCTGGACCTGGTGGCTTAAAACTCACATGGGTGCGTGTGCATGCATACCCAAAATCCCGAAAGGAAAATGGAGGAGCAGGGATTGCAGTGTGGCCATCCCATGTTGGGAGGGGTGTTACTTTTTTTTCTGTCTCTCTGTCTCTCTCTGTCTCACCAGAAACCATACATACCCTATAGCAAAGAACTTTCTTAAAAAATGTAATAATTTTTCAAAGAATGTACTGTAACTTTTTAAAAATCAATTACTTATTACAAGACATGTTTAAGTCATGGTCTTTTTTCTTTTTGTAGTCATTCACTGTACATCAATGTAGTATACAAAATGAAATTTTCCAGCCAATATACATTGTATATTGGTTCAATCAAGGATATTACCATACATGTTATCATCAACAAGTAATTTTCAGGACCAGCAGTTATTGTAATGGCTATGTCGCTGGACTCCCATGTAGCCGACCATGGTTCGAGTCCCGGACCCGGTGGCCTAAAACTCACACCGGGCGCATGTGTGTGCATGTCCAAGATCCCAAGAGGAGAATGGAGAAGGGATTGCGGTGTGGCCATCTCACCTGGGGGGTGATTTCTCGCTTTCTGTCTCTCTGTCTCTCTGTCTTTCCCCCACCCCCTTGATAGCCTACCTCTCACCCTCTGCCAATTCCCTCTCTTCCCCCCCACACTGTCTCTGGTCTCTACAGTTGTTTTGCAGGCCTTTTATTTCACATTTTATTGATTCACTAAAGATCTTAATTAACTTAAAGACTTTCAATAGCAAGCACAGCTGATATATATGTATTTATTAATGCACCTCGGACTTAAGGAATAAACCTCAGTGAGTAAAATGAACATACTATAAAGTAGCACCTCACTGGGGCTATATAGCTTACTGCAGTCATTAAATAGGTATTAATAAGTATTTTAATGCATTTTTGAAATTCAAGAAAAGTTTTCCTTTTAATAGATCAAAATCAAAAAATGTCAAGAGAAATTTGCTTAAAACTTAAAGCTAAGAAAAAGGTTAGTATTCAGTTCAAATAGCAGGTAGATGAACCTATCAACAGTTCAAGAGAAGACAAAAATCCTTGAATATAGAAATCAAAGCATCAGAGAAAATCAGTAATGTTTTAATATAAAGTAAAAAATTCTATTTCACTAGTTCGGACTCACGTAGTTACTCCCTCTCCTATTGAATTTGCAGCATTATTGTGGTCTGATCCATTTAAACTCTAGAAGTTAATATTCAATTCCAAACTTGTCCCTACCATTAGGCTAGGCATTCTCTTGGTTGTTTCTTATACTTTTATTTCTATGTGTCCTACTTTAGTTTTCCTGGTATAGCACTCCTTTCAGCACTTCTTGGGTAGCTGGTCTGGTGTTGGTAAATTCTTTCAGGTTTTGTTTACCTGGGAATGTTTTTGTCTATTTTTCCTATATAAAGGATAATCTTGCTGGGTACAGTATTCTTGGTTAAAATTTTTTTCACTTACCACTTTGAATATAGTGTTCCATTCTTTCCTCACTTGCATTGTTTCCGATGAGAGGTCTGATGTTAGCTTTATGGGATATCCTTTGAAAGTAACTTGATGGTTCTCTCTTGCCAATTGTAGTATCTTATCTCTGTCTGTGGTTTTGCTCAATCTGGCTATGATGAGCCTTGGAGGTATGGTCTTCATAAGATCATGCTAAATATGCAAGATATATATTCCAGTCTGAGTTATTTTCTGGTTTTTGTTACTGTTGTCCCTGTCTAAAAATCCTTCCCCTGTTTTCTAGCTGAATGGTACAGCAAATATGACTAAAGCCGTAGAAATACTTCAGCTACCAAAAACAGAAAGAGATGTCAAACACAATACTTCGTGTCATGTTGCAGGATGGGGAAGCACCAAAAAAGATTCTTGCAAGAATTCAGAGACCTTGAGAGAAGTCAATGTCACTGTGATAGATCGAAAAATATGCAATGATGAAGAGCACTATAATTTCATGCCAGTTATTGATAACACCATGATCTGTGCTGGTGGTAGGAAAGGTGAAGATGATTCATGTGAAGTAAGTAAAATAAGACTTTTAACTATCTTTTGGCTATAGGAAATAAGGTTAAATAGTGTGTCTAGGAAGAATACAGTGGACCATTGTCTGTATTTTTTATGTACAAGACCTGCTTGACACTGGGGCGTATTCCTTTGTTCCATGTGAAACCTCCTGCTCAGGACATGTGTTTCCTCCTTACTAATGAGCATTTTCAGTTTCTGACTTATGAAGATTCAACTTACAATCTTTCCACTTACGATGGTGTAAATTCCATATGCGTTCAGTAGAAACAGTATCTTGAGTTCCTATACAACCACTCTGTTCTTCATACTTAGTACAGTGTTCAGTAAATCGCATGAGATATTGAACACCTTATTATAAATTTGGCTTTCTGATAGATTATTTTGCCTATGTATAGGCTAATGTAAGTATTCTGGGCCTGTTTAAAGCAGGCTAGGTTAAGCTATGATGTTAGGTAGGTTACATGTACTTAATGCATTTTCACCTTATGATGGTTGAGGAGCATTTGTATAGCAACTAACTGCCATTCATGTCTGCTCTCTATCCCTCTCAATCATGATCACCATAGCTGGCATTTACTAAGACCAGGAACTATATGCCAAGTTTCATACTTTGCTGCACCATGTAATCCTCAAAAACACCATGACACAGGCATTATTATCATCTCTCTTTTACAGATGAGGAAAATTAGGTGGAGAAAGGTACTTAACCTGGGTTGGCTCTAGTGAATAAAGGAATCAAATCCCTTGTTTGAATCCTGGTCCCAGAAGCTCAAAAAAAGCACCAAGCACATATACACATGTGCCTCAAATCCCAATAGAATGTAGGAAGTGGAGAACAGATGGCAGCATAACCATGCCCCACAGGGGGTACTTTCTCTTATCTCTGTTGCTCTCTGGCATGCACATATGTCTTGTAAAGCAAAACAACAACAACAAAAATCAAAGCAAGAGAGTTACTTAACTTACTTAACTTCCCCAAGTTAAATAACCTGAATATCAGCAGGGTGTATTAGATTTGAACCAAGGCCATCTCACTCCCAGCTCCTGCATTGCTCTTCCTCTGTTTGAACCTCTTTAGAACTCATGATCCGTAAGTGGTTTGTGAGGTCAAAGAGACTATGTAATGGAAGCTGATGAATCCTGGGGAAAAAAATTCTAAAAATTCTTTGAAATATCATAAGTACTCTTTGGTCTGAGATGGATAACTAGTGTCCTCAGAGCAGGGAGTAGAGATCCCATCTCAAGCCATCTCAGTAACCCCAACATTCAGTTTCTTGCCCTGACATCTACTGGCCAAGACAAAAAGACACAAGCCCCAGTTCATGGAAATGACTATTTTTCCACCATTAAAGGCTTCCTTTATTCTTCTTTTTTTTTTGTTTTACTGATAAAAATAAGTTTATGTCTTTTCCAGAACTGCCTTTTTCAGAAGGAAAATTATTAGAAAAGATAAACAAATGTGTGTTCATTAATGTTCAGAGCAGACAATTAATAAGCCAAATTTTAAATTAGTCTTTAAATAAGGAAAATAGTAGAACACATAAGTGAATGTGTGAATGAGTGAATAAACACATGATTTTTCTGTTCCAGGGAGACTCTGGAAGTCCTCTGATATGTGATAAAATTTTCAGAGGTGTCACTTCCTTTGGGAAATGTGGTGACCCCAAGAAACCTGGCGTCTACACTCTCCTTACAAAAAAATATCTCAACTGGATTAAAAAAACCATTGCAGGAACCATCTGACATTTCTTTTTCAAAGTAGAGAAGTGCGGTTACCACCTGCAGATGCCAAGCAAGTTATTCATGTAACCTGTTCTCAGAAGTACCTCACTGACCCTCCTAAGTTTGTATACAGTCTATCTGAAGCAAAATCATCAGTGAAAGAAACAGCTTCCTGCTTTCACCCTGACACGACTAGTAACAACTACATATTCACACTTACTCTCTTTCTACGGCAAGAGATGGCCCTTGAGAAAAAGTCCCTTGATTCAGTAACTCTTTGCTTTATTCAAAATTTGAGGACTATCGCTTTTGTGTTTGCTATTAAAAACAAAAGTCAAAACAAGAAAAGCCAGACTATTCTTCATTATTTCAAACGGAGCTCCAAAAGAAATGTGGCCCTTTAGAATTTAGAGCTCAATATTCTATTTGATGCAGGAGTACAAGGAGATACAAAAGGGGGTTCTACTTCTTACTTTAAACTTCTGTATATCTGGAAGTTTTTACAAAAATATTATTTATAAATACAATGAGAAAGATTCTATATGTATTTTAGGTATCTGGAAAGTTCAAGGCTATGGATAGGTCAGGGAAACTGCACATTTAGTAATTACAAGTAGATTACCTATGCAGCCCACCCACAGGAGGATTTAGCAAGAAGCCGCTGAGTAGACTTGAGAAGGGGCAGATTGCAAAATGTCCCCAGAAGGGAATCCCAAGACTAGGGGAATAACTGAAGAAAGCTGTTCTTTCATCCTCTTGGCTATCACCAGTATGGCTAAGGACCCACCCATTTCTGAAAAAAGAAAAATGGAGATGATGATGAATCCTTTGTCAGTGTTTATTCAGGACATTACAGAGACAAAGCTGATTCTGGAGGCCTGGTGTCAGTTCCTTTGACAGTACAATCAAAAGAATGGAAAGGGGCAAGTCTGATTGACGGGGATAGGACTTTGGGTTCAGGATGGGAGTGAAAGGAGTTATATATTCCTCTCTAACTAAGCAATCTTTTGCAAAGTTGATGTGCCTTGAGAGGAGAGAGGTCGTGCCCTAAACAAATGAAAAATGCCACTGATTCTGTCAGAAACCTTTTTTTAAGAAATAAATCTGCTTTCTATGTTAGAATCAGTCTCCTCCAAGTTTGAGCACATGAGTTAGGCTCCAGAGCTTCAGCCCAGGGCACACTGTAGCTTCGAGTCCCGGGAGTCCCTCTCACCTTCTCAAAGACAACAGCGCCAGCAATTCTGCAGCCTCCTCCTCATCACAATCTCAAACTTTTTCATTACCATAAGGATAAAAACATGCTTTTATCCTTCTCACCTTAAGAAAAACAATTATGATAAAATACTCCTTCTGTAAGAATTTCCCCATTTCTCTGCTTTTCTTTACATCGAGCCTCCTCAAGTGTAACATCTGTACTCCAATTTCTCTTCATTCTCTCCTAAACTGTGACATGCTTTTTGCCCTACACTCTACGGAAATGACCCTTGTCTAGGAGCCAGGCAGTGGTACAAAGGTAATGCAACTGGACCCACATGGGAAACATCCTGGGCTTGCTTTCCAGTACCCCCCTGAACATGCTGGGCTGATTGACACTGCGGTGGATCGTGGCATGACTATCCAGTTAGGGGTGCCTTTATTTCTCTCTCTTTCTCGATAAATAAATAAACTTGAAAAAAAAAAAAAAAAAGAGATAGCTCTTGTCAAAACCTTCACTTTGATACCTTATAACCCTGTGAAATCCAACCCTGTCAGTTCTCAGCTCCCGTTCACTTGCCTTCTCAGCAGTATTTGATGCCATTAACATCTCCCTCCTCTTGGGAGCATTTGCTTCACTGGGTTTCTGGGACACCACATTCTCCTGGCTCTTCTCCTAGCTCCCTCCTCCTTAGTCACCTTTGCAGGTCACTCTTCTCTGCCATGCAATGCATGTGAGGTGGCCCCCCACTAAGACCTGGACCTTTTCTCCATCCTTGCACACCCCTTTCCAGTGACATGTAGGCCCCATGACTACAGATAACATGCCATCTATATACCGGTAATTCCCAGTCTGTATTTCTGGCTTAGACATCCCATTCCAGCCACCTTACTCCACAACTCCATTTGGATATCCAGCAGACCTAGATCTTCCCCTCAAACCTGCTTCAACTCTAGACTTCCCCATTTTATCTCATGGCAACTCTATCCTTCTAGTAGTTCAGATCAAAAGTGTTGGCATCTTCTTTGACTCTTCTTTTTCTCTTACACTGCAAGGGAATTCTACCTGCTCTAACAAAATGTTTCCAGAATCCAATACCTTTCACTAAATGTACCATTACCACGTGGGTCCAAGACACTGTGCTTTCTAGCCTGAATCACTGCAATTGTCTCCTGCCCTTCTCACTCCCAACCTCACAGTTCAAGTCTCAGGAGTCCCTCAGAAGGATTTAGTCTGTTCCCCACAGTAGCAGAAGTAATGTTATTCAAACACGTCAGATCACTCCTCTCCTCCAAGCCCTACAATGAATGGTTCCCTAATTCACTCAGGATAAAGGGCAAAGTTCATACAGTACCCCACAGGCCCTCATAATTTTGTCTCCCAAGATTTCTTTAACATCATTGCCTTCTGTGCTTCCCCCACTCCTCTCCAGTCGTGCTGGCCTTCCTACTCTTCAAACTGACCAGAAATGCAACACACATTTTTCACAGTTTTGTACTGGATTTCACTAATTCTGGAAAGGTCCCCAATATCTTCATAACTAACACCCTCACCCTCTCTCAGATCCTTGCTGAAGTGTTACCTTCTCACAATGTATGCACCGCTAACCCATACTCTTAACCTCTTACACTGACATTTTATATATATATAATTTACTTGTATATCTTCTTTATTCCTTCTATGACTACTATTTACTTTGGTCTCCTCCCACTAGAATGGAAGTTCTATGAGGACAGGGATTTTTGTTTTCTTTGCATTATCTAGGCATTCAATACATATTTCTAGTAAATAAAAGAATGAATTGATAATCCCCATAACTCTAGAGCCCTGAGAATCTGCCCCTTCATCAGGCAGTTTCCTCTCCTTGCGCATATTTTATTTCTTAAAAAATTATCACAGTGAACTTGTCTCCCTAACTACCACATCAAGAAAAGACGATGGCCAAACCCCTGAACACTGCTTATACCACCTCTTTACCCCAAATAAACACGATCCTGACTTCTCACATCATAATTTTTACCTTAATATAAATCACTCCTATAGTAGATACTCTTGTATGAATTGATTCTTTTGTGGAATATATATTTATATGATTCATACATAGGCTTATAGATATATTGAGTTGTCAGAAAAGTCATGATGCATTTTTGCATTGAAAAACATAGAAAAATAAGTCATGACTTTTTCTTTTTTTTTATTATCATCATAATCTTCTTTATATTACATTGGATTACATATAACTTTACATTGACTTCCATTGCTTTTTCAAAAGGGAATGCCATGCATGTCAGTCAATACAGAGGCATCGATCTCCCCGCTTTATCATTCAAAGTCTTTTCCATGCATTTCCCAATAATTATTATTATTATAATTTTTTAAAACAGTCAATCACTATTTCTCATTTTGCTTGTTAAAAGACTTCACCCATCATGAAATACTTCCCAGACCAGTCCAGTTGAGAATACTATACACGTCATCTTCAACAGATAATAAACCATATCTGTTTCTCACTAACATCCCCTCTATTGTTCACTTGCTATCTTTCTCTATCCTCTTCTCTTTTTTTTTT